ATCTCCATCCATAGGTGGGGAATTTTAAAAAAAAAAAAAAAAAAAATAAAAAGATATAAACAAAAAAAAAAAAAGCAAATATTGTAGAACCAATCTCTTTTGGAGAATTTTTTTTCTTAAAGAGAAAATAAAAAAAAATAAAGAAAAACCTCAGTGATTGGACATTATATTGTGAAAAAATAAAAATAATTTTTTTAAAATTTGCATATAATTGTGAAATGTAACGAATTAAAAAATAAAATTGGAACAAAAAAAAAATAAAACTGGCAAAATGTTTTATTTTCTTGTTTTATTTTTTAATTAAAAAAAAAAAAAAAAAAAAAAAACCTCATTTCATTAAAAATTTTCAACTATCTTGAAAATAACTTCGTTATTTTTTTTTCTGAAAGCAAGCCTTATCGAAATCATATTCTCGATATATAAAGCTATATATATATATATATAAAAAAGTGTATATGTGTGTGTGTGTTACTTTACATGTATAAAAAGATCATTTTTAAAAAAAATTAAGAAAATTCAACAGAAAAAATATCTTTAAAATGACTTCAAGTTTCTTGTTCATTTATATTAGAATAAATGACACACACAGTTAATTCAAGTTTGGAATAAATGAATAGAACTATCAAAAAACTTCATAAGAAAGAATACAAAGTATTAAGAATAAAAGGCAAAGGGAATTAGCTTTCAACATAGCACCAATTATTTTATGAATGTGTCTTTATTTCCATTTTTCAGCTTATAAACAAAAAACAAAACAAAAAAAAAAATCAGGAAAAAAGCAAACTAGGAGTTATTTCAGGTAAAAAGATAAATAAGAACCCTATAGTTGTTAGATAAAATCTCTTGAGCAGTGATACAAAACTTAAATATAACAAAGAAACGGAGACATGTTGAAAATTACTTATGAAAAAGAAAATGTGGTGTAAGTCCTCTTAAAATCAATGCCTAACAGAATCATAGGTAAATTTAAAAGATTAAAACAAAAATTACTGATAAAAAAAGGAAATTAAACATTCTAAAAGTGGCCTATACCAGTCATCTTGTTAAAAAGAAACAACTAAAGTTATATGTAATATTATTTTAGGGAATGTCATCTTTTTTAAACAAAAAGATTTCTTCCCTTCCTAAAATGATGTAAATTGGCCAACAAAGATTACTTTTAAAATATTTTTGCCTTATTCTCATCGGTAATTTTATTTTATTGTTTATTATTTAAAATCATCTTCCTCACAATTATTTTCTATTTTATTTAATTTTCTAAACACCATAACTTTTAAACTGAAATGATATCAATATATCAAACATATTTATTTGAGATAAAGCGTTAGTTTGTGTCACTGCATTTCACGTTTGATATTTTCAAAATGTTTAAGAGCCATATCATTGAAATACCAGTTCACTGAACATTGAACTTGGTCAGTACCTAGATGGATAACTGCTAGGGAATTACCAAGTGCTTGGATGTGCATGAAGAGTAATGGACAATGGCTCAGAGTTGTTAAGAGAGCCAAGTTCCAATTCCAGTTGAGTTTGTTAAATTTACTTATGTGCAAATATCCTTGAGAAAGGTAGGAATTTACCTCTTCTTCCCCAACTATGGGTTAATTAGTAAGACTTGTATTACTGAACCATTATTATCTCAAAATAAAAAAAAAATGTTAGGAGGTGGATTATCCTTTGGGCTATTATAAGCTACATCATATTTTTAATACAATAAAACAAAAATTACCAATAAAAAGGAAGTAAAACATTTTAAAAGGAGCCTTTGTCATTTTATCATTTAATATTTAAAAATGATTGACAATCAACTTTGACTAAAAAAACAGTCCGCTCAAAGAGTTGCACTGCCTTTTTCTTTGTTGACAATAATTTTTAATCCTGTTGCCACTTAATCATGTTATACTGGAGTTTTGTATCCCAAAAAATATATAAAAACAATGATATGGTGAATAATGAAAATTTAAGAAAAACAAAAAAAAAAATACTAATAATTCATTTTTAAACTTGAAATGATTTCTCAATGATATATGCATGTTTTATTTATTTATTTTTTACTGCATGTGTTTCAATATGCAGTAAGCTTACTAGCTACAGTGACAAAGAACACCTTATCACTACAATCATAGTAAAATGCCGAAGTAATGACTTTCCATATGCATAAATAATGAATTGGAAATCAACGGCGTGTCTCATCCTGCTTGTCTTGCGCTTTCAAAAACATTTCAAGTCCTTAATGCCATATTTTAACATAAAATACTCCAGTTTGGATTCAAATTAAAAAGAGGCATATCAGGTGCTTTGATAAACAAAAGTTGCAGGTTTCTTTCTGAAGCGACCATTATAAAGGCTGGCCCTTATAATTACCCATCATCCCATTTTTTTTTTTTTTTTTTTTACATATGCAGCTGTTATCGTCTAAACTTTGTGTACAAGGATTAACAGTCTTGTCCCAAAGAGCTAGTTGTCTTTTGTTCCAAGTGTTGATAGATAAATGTTTTAAAAGATATACACACAAACAAATATTTGAAAATTTTAACAGTCGTAAAACAACAAAAAAAAATAATTGTTAATTACAATTCAGTTTTATCCTTCAACAAGATAAACTAAACACATTTTAAACCCTTAGGGTTAGACATATTCATTCCTTCACCATACCCTTTATAGAAAAAAAAAATTCTAACATTAAAAATAATATAAAAGACCACCAAAATCTGAATCTCTTTTAGGTGATGTGAAACTGCATGGTTTTGAAAACTGATATTATCTATATCAGTTGCTGTTTATTGAAATAAAACCTAAGAACGTCAAGTTTTTTTTTAGTATAAGAGTCCTAACATTTTTAAACTTGAAATATGCAAAGAATTGTGTGTGTGTATATATATATATATATATATATATATATATATATATATATATATATATATAGAGAGAGAGAGAGAGAGAGAGAGAGACCATTTTTGGTCTTAATTTCATTTTTGGGTGGATCACCATAAACATATGAAAAAAAAAATTTAGTAAATGTATATGCTTTATTTTAAAGTAAAACTAATTTAATGAAAATAAACTTGTATTTAGCAACTAAATTCTATGGGATATTTATGTACACTAGAAAAGTAACTCATAATATCAAATCATCACTTGATCTTGTTTTCTTCTAGTTTTAGATTATTTTTAATTTTAGTATTTTAATATGGCGTAAATTACTGTAGAAATTCCAATTCTCAGTTGTAACAACCGTCCTGAAGTGAAATTGTTCTATGGACTGCTAAAATATTACTGTTGACCCCCAATTTGTTATTTTTGGGTGTGGATCCCAGTAATGTTACATGGACTCCAAGGAACTTCTATTCTAATAACTATTTTGATGTAGGTAATTGCAGATTTGTTTGTTTTATTTCATTTTTAAGTATGAGAAATATTTAAAAAAAAAAAATAAATAAAAAAAAAATTTTGGTGCTATTTTTTTCTTTAGTGTCAACAAGGGGAAGAATATTCATATACCTCTAATATATCAAAGAGAGAGTGTGAATGTGTGTGAGAGACAAATATTTTTGTTATTATCTTTTGATACATAAATATATTTGCATGTTTTCTCAAATATTTCTAATGTAAATAATCTCAAATTAAAAATAACTATTTTGTAAATGTTAACTGATTTTTTTTTTTTTATAATATACTAAAATGTAAATGACCCTAGTGTAAAACCATTAACTACAGATAACATGAATTTCCATCACAGATGAACTGAATGGTGGAAATTTATGCTACTCTTAATGTTTTCAATTACGGACTCAAATCTGACAAAACTAAAAATTCCTTAAAAAAAAAAAAAAAAAAAATCCAGTAAAATTTTTTGATATTTATTAAAAAATTTTTGAGAACAGTCCCCCATTTGTTGACATGAAATAAACTTTGCATTTTATACTTATATATTTATATACAAAGAATACGCAAATATAGATGCTTTTGGAATATGTTTGACAAGTCAGAACGTTACAGATAAAAAAAAAAAAGAAAAAAATGTTGTGGTGGTGTTTTTTTTTTTGTCAGTGGTGATAAATTTAAAATGTTCAAATTTATTTAAGGTTAGTATGGGTGAAGAAAATATGGGGAAAAAATCTCACAATGTTGAAGCAACTCATTAAAAATGCTGTCAAAATTACAGCATACGTTATAATCTTCACTTAAAGACACAATTGTAAAGATAATGATTCTTACTCTTAGAAATCATAATGGCCACAAGGACAATTATCAGAATTTGTCTTTTTTTTTAATGTTCATTTTTTTTTTTTTAACTGAACTCATATTTTAAATACACTTTTTAAAAAAGCTATGACAATATTAAGCATTTTGATGTGATAAAAACAAATACAGAAAATCCACGCAGGCAATTTATGTCATCAGAGACGTTATTTTTTTTTATAAGATTTGTAATAATATGGCTAATTGATTTAATACATCCTTACAGATGTTTAAAGAAAAGTGTGCCCACAATAGCTGCCATGATGAGGAGGGAGTCTTCAAAGGAACTAATTTTTTTTACTTATTTTGCAATGTGTTGTAAAACATCTGAGTGGATCTTAACTTGTTTTACCAAACTCTTAAAAAGATTTAAATATTATCAATAGTATATATATATATATATATATATATATATATAAAGACATATTTGAAATATGAGATCAAGAATGTACATTTCTTTTTGAACAGGAGAATTTGTTTTAAAAAAAAAAAAAAAAAAAAAAAAAAAGAAATTAAAAAAAAAAAAAATTGATTGCCAAATTTTTGGCTACAGTTTGAATTCTCTGACAACAGTTAATCAGAAATAATATTTTTTTTATCCCAGTTACATTGATAGAGCTCTTTCCTCCAGTGATTCCGTACTTTGAAATGAGACAAGATGACGGCAGAGGACAACAGGGTCGGTTTCGTTCGGATACTGCTTCAGTACTTCCAAAACGACCTTCTCTGGAAACAAACCACACAATTTCTGGTAAATCTCAGTGTTCTGTACATGTGCCGACGAGCTGGATTGATTTGGAGTCATCACAGATGTTGGTGGAGACACACAATGAGTTGGGGAGTGGGTAAGATTTTGCTGAGGACAATGGTGAGAAGTAGTTTGGTGTACCTGAAAGCAGTTCAACATCGTCGGACTCAGCTGTGTTGGGGAGAAAGGATATTGGTTAGGGTCAATATAGCTTGCTCTGGGTATTGAGTTGGCAAAAGATACTGGGGTTCCAGGACCAGAATTGGGGAGAACAGGTTCATACACCCCACTTGAGTAAATCTGATCATGGTTACTAGACATGGAATACACTGGGTGGGGTGGATTTATTGGATTATATTGTTCCATGATTGGGACCTGCACCCATGGATAACTTTGTTGACGTGCAAGGGATGATGGAGGGTATGAAATAAACTTTTCGGGTGTGTTTTGCATCTGGTGTAAGGGTGGTATCATTGGTGTAAAAACTAAGGAAGACTGATTCTGTTGATATGATTCTGGTTCCGGATAATTAATAACTTTTCGCATATTTTTGTGTCGGGGATCAACAGCGAGGTCATTCCAGAAGTGTACGTGAGACCCATTTATGGTATTAGGGCTCCTCTTTATGCGTGGGTCTTCGTCACTATAAATTCCAAGTTGTCGACTCACTTTCAAATGCTGGTGCTGAGTTGTGTTGTGGGGGCTATGTTTCAAGGGGCTATACTGACCATTATTTGCATACATGCAATTCCTGGCAGTGTTTGAACTCATAGATTTCTTTTCAGCGTCTTTATTGGCATCGTCCGATAGCTTCTTAGCAACCTGTAAATGGCCAATGACTAAAGGCTCGGGAGGGGAGGGTTGAAATCGAGTTGGTAGACTTGATGTTGAACAGTGCTGTCGCAAGCCCGACAGGTCGGGGCCAATGTTGTTGTTGTTGTTGTTGTTATTATTGTGGTTATTATTATTATTATTGTTGTTGTTGTTGCTATTACAGAATTTTTCCTGGGGTGAAGACTCACACAATTTGATGTTCATGGCCAGTTTAGTTAATCTCTCATTGTAATCATCCATTGGTTGTCGTACTTCGTTTGGCTTTAAATCACGTGTTGGGTTCGGGAGCTCCCCTGTGTCGTCGTCTTTCAGGACGATTGACTTTGTTCGATTTAAAGGTGATTTTGCCTTGGATTTCTTGTCACTTTTATTTTTTTCAACTGCAAAGAAAAAAAATTTTAAATAATATAAACAAGAAATAAATTGTTTTAGGCAGGCTGTACTGCTCTAAGTAGTGTGTATTTGAATAACGGCATAAGAAAAAACAATTTTACATATATTTGTTAAGAAAGGAGATATGTTATATGATTCTAGACAGGTTTGGTTTGTTTTACAGCATATCAACCTCAATAGGTTATTTAATGCAGACAAGATTTTTTTTTTTATTGCTGGTAATATTTTTTCCTTCAAAAATGTATTGCTGGTAATATATTTTTTTTTTCAAGAATATAATGCTAGTATTAAAACCTATTTTTACACTATCATAGTCTTTTGACCCCAGTTTGGGAGTTAACTATTTGCCCATAGTTGGGACCCTAACAAGTGCTACCACCCCAGGTCAGGGTGAACCTGGAAACACTAGCAATTAAGAGGGGGGTTCCATGCTCCTCAAAACCTCATGATCAGAGGCCTTGCTGTTGGACGTAGTTTATCGTCTTACCCAGAAGACGGATGTTAGTTATTCCCTTACTGATTTTGGACATCACAAAAAAACTAAAATTAGTGCATATCAACATGGGCAAATCATTATCATCCCTCCTCTTCTTCAATCTTTTTCGGCACAGTTATAAATTTAATGAGTTTTCATAACTCAGGATTGTCTGCATTGAACCAGCTATTTATTTTGGCGATAATTCAAATTTGTGTTCTTTCTATGAAAAGACCATAAAAATGAAATTAACAAGAATTAACTTTACTGACTATCTTCAAGGGCTAAGTATAGTTTTAGAAATTCTCAAAATGCTTGTCCGAGATGAAATATTAAAATAGATTTAGTTTGGATAATTGGAAAGTATTACGATGATTTAAATTTTTCTCTTCGTTTCACTTCTAGATAATCTAAATCTGGATAATTGAGAACGTACTGTAAAAAGTTAAGAAAGAAAAATTCAAAATAAACGAAATCTACCTTCAGCTATAGCTCTATCCTTTACTTCTTGGATCATTGGCTTGTAGCGTTCAGCAAGTTTCTCCGTCACTGTTTTATGGGGCATATTTCCTCGTTCTGGGTGGTGGTATTTACACTTGTTGCCATAGGTACACTTTTTGCCATACGGACAATTTGGAGGTAAGGGTTCCGGAGCAGTGGGAGTTTTACGCAAGAAATTGTCAAGACTGGGGCCATGTCGACCAAGTGGATCATCTGGAGGCATGAACCTGAAAAATAAAAATAAAATGTTTGTAAGGATCAAATGCTAAAAGAGTATAAATGCTTGAACAAACCCTCTCTCCTATAAATACCTTATTTACCAAAACAGTAGAAACAAAAAGGTGATACTATCATAATTAACATTGAGGCGGAGAGTGGTAGGATATAAAATGTGTCTTATTTATGGTAACTGAATAATAGACTATTATTGCTTCAATGAAAGCATAGTCAATTTTTTGTGAAGCAAAGATAGGTAGGTAGGTAGGTAGATAGATAAGTAGATAAAAACTGATCTACAAGGATGCTGAAGTCAAAAATTAATAATAGTGGCAATAATTCAAAGAAATTCAGAAAGTTTAAAATAATTGAAAAAATAACGAGAAAAGAAAAACACTTACTTGTCGTCCATAAATGAATACATTAAAAGACGTTCCTCTATCACTTTTCGGAAACCTTCATTCTCGTTAAGTAAATCCCGGTAATTATCATTTGAAACCACGATTCCGTCCAGTTCATTGGCAACTTTAAGAATGTATCTATCATCATAACAAGCAACTCTTCTTCCCTTAATGGTTCGAGCTGGAGTAAACACAAGAATCCTTTCTTTTTCTAGCTCTGTCAAAATTTCTTGGTCTGTTACCAAAAACAAAAAAAAAAAAAAACAAAAAAAAACATTTAGTATCAATAAACAAACAAATACATGTACATATTATTTCAATGAAATACTTATCAAACATTTTATAATTTGGGTGAGGGTAAGAAAAAAAAAAAAAAAAAAAAAAAAAAAAGATCCTATTTTTAGTTCTGTTACACAAATTGTCCACTAGATGGCACCACCACATTCTACTCAGACTGCTCATACAGTTAGAGGAAATCAAAATGTTACACTCTTCAGGAGTGTTGCCTAACCGATCCAACTAATGAGTCGAGGTAAAAAATGTATTTCATCATATTCAAAAGTAGCAAATTAAATTCAAACAGCACCACGGATTGAACATAAGCACATTGCAAATAATTACTTTATTGAAATATAGAAGCTTGTGCCGTCAGAAGATGACATGTAGAAATTACTAGGGATTTCAATTATACTAGTGTTTCATCAACACTATGGCTTTCAAAATAGTTTTATGTGTTTGTTTTGCAAGTTTAGAATAACAAAAGATGCCCAAAATAACAAGTGTATATACTCAGATAGGAATTCTTGATTTGGGTGAATAAAATTAGTTTAACAAAGTGAGTTAAAATTCATTTAAGAAATCTTTAAAACTGTTCTAGAAATGTACTTTAGAATTTATATTGATTAATATAAATCCTTCAGAAATAATTCTTTCATCTTTTTTCTGTTTCCTAGTTTTGTTTTTAAAGTTTCAAAGCATCATGTTGAGCATAAGAAACAACAGAAACAGAAAATAAAAAATTGCCTTATGATGAGATTTGAACTTCTATCCTGTATCCTTGGAAACCATTTTTTTCTGTGACGGTACCATAACCAGATTTGCAATAAAAACTGGCAGATTATTCATTCAAATAAGGTATATCATTGTAATCTTAATTCATATATTGCTTCTACGTTCAGTATTGTTTTATTCATTCATTAAATGAATCTCTTTGAGCAGGAAAATATAATTATTAAATATAAAAAGTAATTTAAAAGAAAATAATTATTTATAAAAATAATTAATGCAAGAAGAAAAAATATAAAATTATATTATAGAAATAGTTATGGAAAAAGTTATTATAATCAAGTTCATAATTCTACAATTATTATAATAAAAATTAAAATGGAGATGTCATTTCTATTTATCAACATTATTTGCTTCTATGCAACTATTTTATTTAATTTTTATGAAAAATTCCTTGAGCAGATTTCTGATACTAAGTGTTCGATTCTTCTAGAATTTTTCTATTTTTTCCTAAGTATTACTCAATGCCAGGTTACAAAATAGGACTGACAACAGCCTTGCATGTAGTGGGGAGTGCCATCCCCACCAAAAGGATTTCATCATTTACTAATTTTAAAATTGATAAAAAGAAGTAAATATATGCATAATGAAATCTTTTATGATAAAAAAAAAAAAAAAAAAAAAAATCATATGCAATTATGTCATAGATAGGGTCCCAACTATGGGTAAATAGTTAACCCTTAAACTGGGGTCAAAAGACTATGAAAGTGCAAAAATAGGTTTTAATACTTGTGCTAGAAAATATTGTACATTTCAAATATTTTTAAAAAGAATATTTTGTTAAAAGTCCTTTTCACACCTATTTTTAATTGAGAAGTCCTTAAAAATATTTCTAATATAAAGGTAGATAAAAAAATAATTCACAATTGTTACTAGCTTATGACTAAAATTGATACCACTTTTGTTTTATTGTCCTTTCTCCATGTTAATCCTTGGCATGTTCAGTGAGGCGAAAACAGAGTTTGTAAAAACAAAATTACTTACCAGTGATGGGAGCATCTTTACGGGGTGATTCTTTACGCCATAATGGAACAAACACGACAATTTTTTGGTGACCTCTCTGTTTAAAATAATCCACAGCATATTTGATTCCTTTGCAGGAAAACACTTCTCTGTTACCATGCCTACAAACAAAGAAAACAGCCTCATCAGAATTGCATCTCAACAACTTTCTGTTTTTAATAAATAAATAAATATTAGATAATGATATTGAGTTGGTGC